AGACCCTCCCCCCGTCTCTCTCTCTCCCCGCAGATCAGACCCTCTCCCGGCTCTCTCTCTCCGCAGATCAGACCCTCTCCCCGTCTCTCTCTCTCACCGCAGATCAGACCCTCTCCCTGGCTCTCTCTCCCCGCAGATCAGACCCTCTCCCCGTCTCTCGTTCTCCCCGCAGATCAGACCCTCTCCCCGTTTCTTTCTCCCCGCAGATCAGACCCTCTTTCCAGGCAGCAGCTCCTTCCCGCTCCCCTCTCTCTCTCTCTCTCTCTCTCCCTCTCCTTCTCTGAGCCGCCATGTCTGCTAGCTCTATGCTAACTTCCCCACCCCCTCACCCCTCCTGAACCCTCCAGAGACTGGGTACTCACACAGTATCTCTCCCGGATCCTGGAGGCCTTACAGCGGCTGTGATGGAAGGACCGTGTGTTCCTCTCCGGAGCTACATGCTAACGAAGCTATAGCTGGTGGATCGTACGGTCATTTAAAGCGTCTGATAACAAACAGGAAGAGAGCCCCCAGATGAAGCCCATATTTGGAATGTCCCTAGCGGCCAACCGGTGTAACTGCCACCACCGTGACGTCACTGGGCCCAAAAATACTTTTCGTCGTTGACTTACATTGGGAAAGAGACGTCTGTAAATCAGCATACATTTGTATTTGAGTTAAATAAACTACCCGAAACGAACTCTTGTATATTCCTTATTCAAATCATTAGCGTGTAAAAGTTGCAAAATGCTTTTAAAGCTGAATCCAGAGTTATTATGTCTCTCCATTCATCTGACTGACAGAGAGCGGGAGATGGGAGGCGGGGCTTAAGGGAAACTCCACTGCGCATGCTCTGTGGGCCCACATCCGGGTACATTTGCTCTCCATAGTGAGCTATTTAGTGCTTCATGTGAGCAGCTACATAGGAATGAACGGAGTGTCTTTATACAGACTATCAGATACTATTTGAGACGGTAGCTCCTGTTCCCGCTGAACTAACGAACATTAAGAACACACCGCATGACTCTGGGTTATTTATTTAATAAAATAAGCTCTACAAAGACTAATTTCTTCATCTGTTCTCTGAAAACAAGCCTCTCCACCGGGGAGAGAACCAGCTCCTCCCGGTAACATCCAGCTCCTCCCGGTAACATCCAGCTCCTACCCGGTTATACTGTTACTTTCCCCCGGGTTATGATACTAATGGTGTAAAGTAACAGTTAATATTAAAGGTGAATACTCACGTTTTCTCTCCGCTTCCTTCTCTCCGCGAACAGATTCACGAACAACAAGCTGTTGAGCCCGGAGCTCTGTTTCCCGACACCTGATTGGCTGCGGTGACAGCGGCGGTCAGAACGGGGAAATCTGATTGGTTAACAGATCCCTCCGTTTTAATTGGACATACCTCGTACTGGCGTTGCTATTGGTCTATACGAACACGGCGCCACGAGGGAAATGACGTTGTCAACTGGGGACGCAGCCAATCAGAGCCGAGGATCAAAGGAAAACCCGCGAATAGAGTACTATTGGTCGCGTGCGCTTTGTGCCTGGAGATGGAGCTCTGCGATTGGCTGAGATGGCTTCCGGTGTATCTGTGAAGCCCCGCCCCTATACGTGCTGGTATACGCTCACCAAACTCCATTCAGAAATCTGTGAGTTAAACTAACCTCGTTCATCGACTGGATGTTAACAAACTGTGTTTATTAAGTTAGTACGTAAAGTATCTGATATATATTAATTAATGATATATATATTAACACACTAAGCTTCAGATATTCTCCATCAAACCTCACTTTCTAACCGGTTAGCAGGTAGAACCAACCGGAAGGAGCTTTATTAGTAAACAAAAGTTCCCTTTGTGTTTGTTTACACTCATGGCAGCTCAGCCGGAATAAAGAGGCGGGTTGTTCACCTTGATAAACGTCTTGTTGTCTTTACTGTGTCTTAAACTCCTTAAAAATGAATGCTGTAAACACTTAATGGACTCTTTTCTCAACCTAGTTCTGCGACGTGGTTTATATGCGCGAGACCATGTCACATTATGGGATGTTTGGACCATGGTTTCAGAGCACGAGCACCTGAGGGTTAGTCAGACTCTGGAGAAATAACGGCAGTTTCAGTCGGTGTTTGTAGAAGAGAAGCGGAGGGGGCGGGGCCAGCGTGTGACGTCACAGGAAGAGGGTGACGTGAGAGTCATATAAGGCATGCTGCTCTGTGGAAGTTATTATTAACATGAACACATGCTGGGAGACAGGTGTGTCCCACAGGTGAGGGACACATACTACACTGAGCTAAGGGACGGAGACTGTTCAGAGACACTATACTGAGCTAAGGGACGGAGACTGTTCAGAGACACTACACTGAGCTAAGGGACGGAGACTGTTCAGAGACACTGAGCTAAGGGACGGAGACTGTTCAGAGACACTGAGCTAAGGGACGGAGACTGTTCAGAGACCCTGAGCTAAGGGACGGAGACTGTTCAGAGACACTGAGCTAAGGGACGGCGACTGTTCAGAGACACTGAGCTAAGGGACGGAGACTGTTCAGAGACACTGAGCTAAGGGACGGAGACTGTTCAGAGACACTGAGCTAAGGGACGGAGACTGTTCAGAGACACTTTGAACTGTTCTAACTGCGTAATAATCCGTGTTAGTTTACGATAAGCACTTCATTGATCTCAGTGTGAAATGTTTGCGTTGCAGCAGCAGCGTAAAAACACAAGGCATTGCACATGAGAAATTAAAAGAGTCAAACAATTCTTAATATCTTAATCTCAAATAGAAATAAAAGACCAACGTTCAAAAGACAGCAGCATTTGATCAGGCTTAAAGCCAGCCTTCCTTCAGATGGGGCGATGCTCCTCTGACATCAACATGTGTCTTTGACTGCGCACATATTTTATATACATTTGTTTTATATTCTGGATTGTGGGAAACGGTGTCTCGATCTCTCTGTACACACAAAGCGGGAGATTGATGTAGAGGCTCCTCCTCCCTTTCCTCCGTCAAGAGCACCGGAGAACACCGGAGAACACCGGAGAGCACCGGAGAACATCGGAGAGCACCGGAGAACATCAGAGAGCACCGGAGAACAAACACACACTTTCTCAAACTGGTCTTTTTTTTTTATTTTGGAAGCGGAAATTCAAACCAAATGAAACATGAAAGTTCATGAACTACAAAACATACAAAATAAAGTGAAGAAGGGGCGGCGTCATAGGAGTCTACATGTTGTCTTCATCGGAGTCATCCTCCTCCTCCAGAGAGTCCTGCAACACAACAACACTGTCAGTCTGTGTGTGTACCTGTGAGAGTGTGTGTGAGAGTGTAAGTGTGTGTGTGTGAGAGTGGTCAGACAGCCAAGAGGATATGACATCACAGGAGTTCAGCTTTTTAAGCGAAACCTCTGACTCTCATCATCCCACCCTGCAGACTGTGAGGTGTGTGTGTCTGTGAGGTGTGTGTGTGTGTGTGAGGTGTGTGTGTGTGTGTGTGAGGTGTGTGTCTGTGAGTGTGAGTCTGTGTGTATGTGTGTGGTGTGTGTGTGTGTGTGTGGTGTGTGTGAGGTGTGTGGTGTGTGTGTGAGGTGTGTGTGAGTGTCACCTTGGCGTATTTCTCCGCCTCCTCTCTAACGTCTTTGGGAACGAGCTGGTGTCGTCCGTCTGTGACTGAGGAGAGAGAGACAGAGTTTACTTCAAATTCAACGAGCTAACCGCTAACAGAGTTTACATCCCATAATGAGCTGGCAGCGGATTGGTCAGACAGCCAAGAGAAGGTGTGACATCACAGGATATCAGCAGTTTTAGCGAAACCGTTCTCATCTTCATCACTCCTCCCCGACAGCCAATCACAGGACAGATACAGCCTGAGCACACCTGAGTCACTATTAACTCACTAACACCTGTTCCCATGGTTACCTGTGTTCATGAGGGTTAAAGGCAGCTACTGTAATGCTACCAATCGTTTCTGTAACATTTCTTTTTAGTAAAACTGTTTATTTATTATGTTGTTTAATAAATATTAAAGACAAGTAGAGAGAGGACAGAAGAAGAAACGCAGCGCTG